TATAAAATATTCATTAAAATCTGCAATTATCTGTAAATGAACAAAACATATGAAGTACCCAGTCCAGCATAGGTTTCTAAATATCTGAAATGAATACAATTATATAGTTCACTATACTTTTATATAAATTGCTTTAAATATATGCTGACAATCTTCAGTTTGTTCAGCAATGTTCACTCTATAAGAATTGTTAATTCTAAGCAATTAAGAAAATAGTTCTATTCATAAAAAACTGGAAAAACCATACATACATAAGCAAATATAGAACCGAAAAAATTAAATCCTATTCTTGGAAGTGTTAAAAATTTACTAAAAAAAATTCTCCTTTTATTTTCACACAATTACTGTATATGAACTTTTTTTTTTTTTAAATCAAGAGGCTTTTTCAATTTTACACAGACTATTAATCCTTATTCATGCCTTTCTCAAAAGCACAAATATAAAGTGAATACATTCAGATTATCTTGTTGTGGGTGGTATATTGGTCCACAAACTGATATTGAATGATGGAAGACAACAACAAACAAAACGAACACTTGAGTAAAAAATATATTGCCAAGTTTATTTTTGTTAAAGAAAATATGAAAAGAAAAATAATGTTATAGTGCAATAGACAAAAAGTAACTCTGCTAGCTCATGTAGAGAGTGAGAGAGCATTGTCCTCAGAAGGACAGTTTTGGTAGTTGCTGGAGCAATGTCCCGAAAAGGATAGTTTTGTAATTGGTGAAGAGCATTGTCTTGAAAAGGACAGTTTATTGCATATCATTGCTACTAGCAAGGACAGCTGGCGCAGAAAGCCTGTTGCAGCTAGCTGGAGCTGGAGGCCTACTAGAGATGGCTGGAGCGGCAGGAGCTGGAGATGACAAGCAAGAGCCAATGGCAAGCTGAAGATAATGATGGCTGGCTAGCTGGAATTGCTGCTGATGGCTGGAGCCGTGGGCTGACAGTTGGATGGAACACTTGGGTGGAACACTTGGGTATTTACCCATGCCTTTCCACTAAGATGGGATGTGACATAAAGTCAAGCTTAACATGGGGAACCTGAGCAGGTATACTCAGGTCAAGTAAAAATTGCCCAAGCCCCTGCAACTGTTGGTTGTGCTGGCAACCACTGACCCCCACTCTAGTGCAATGAGAGGGTGCAACCTTGGGCAGCTGCTCCTCAGGGCTGGGCACCTCAAAGTATTAGTTTCCTCAGCTGCACAGACAGAGGCCACAACTAAGACACAACTGAGAAATGATACATGACAGGATATGATAATCTCAGAATGTATATTTGACTCAGTTCCATTTTCAATATGATTACTGCTTAGCTATTGGCACCTCACCTGGTATTTTTCATAAATTAATTTTTATATAAATGCCTACAATTAAGGTTCTTCCGGTTGATGATGAGCAGCATAAAAAGATGACTTTTTTAGCAGCTGGATTGACCCCTAGGTCAGCACTATCTCATGTTCATCCTCAGTCAAGTTACACTAATAGACTAATTTTTAGTCACCAAGTTTCATCTATTTGATCAGTCAAACATTTGCTGGCTTTATAGTAATAGATAATGACAAACTATATCAGTAAATAACTATTCATAAAATATATGGCAATAGGCTCCAATTTACAACTGTAAATATTATTTTACAAATATGAATATATAATAATGTGCAATATCTCTATCTCATTCATATATATATATATATATATATGCCTTGAAATTTGTGATAGTTGATATTGAGTAAGTTAGTATAACACTGCACCTCTGTGATCGATTCTAGGCTGGACTGGTAACCAGACGATATGACCCTTGCCACATGCCACCTATACCAGAAGATGCCTTGGTCCTCAGGGTTGTAGGATGACAAGTTGATTGCAGGGGCAATCACATGCTGTTTGATATTGTCACAAGTCAACATGCATTGGTCACTGTCCACCTAGGTCCACACCTTGCTCTGCTCACATTGTGTTTCTTGGTCAGAGAGCTGGTAGGGATCGATTATTGTTAGTAATTGTAGTGCTGATTTGAACTATGGCGAGCTGTGCGATGATGGGAAAAAATAGAAATGTCTTCGCAGACAAAATAAAAATGAAAAAATTCTTTTGGGTTTATATAGTTCTTGGTATAACAAAAATTAACCCTTCCCACTAAAATCTATTCAGTGACATTTTGCCTATCAGTATTAACTTTTGGAACAGGGTTCACAGTTGGGATTCTCTCAGCAACAAGTCACATGGATCTCAGTAACGCTTTCATCTGCCCTTCACTAATGTCTCTCTCTTAAGTGATCTGCTTATATTGACTTTGATTCAAGACCAGAGTGGGGACTGACTGTGTTTGGGGATTTGGTGTTTCCCCAGATTTCTATATTGATTTGAACAAGAGTTCTTTGTTTATTTTGTAATATTAATTATCTCTCCAAATAAACATAAATTAAATTGAATATTTTTAATATGCAAAATACTTTGTTGTATTTCAAAATGAATATAAATTGATTGGAATGACTTTTGTTTTTTTTTAAATGGCTAAAAATGGCTGATTTTAGCCATATTTACAAATCTTGCAGCACAAACTCATTATTAAAAAATCTTTCAAAAATAAAGTATAATTTTCTGAAAATTTATTTGAGGAAGATTAGCTGATTTGAAGTTTAATTAATCTGATTTGAAACAAATATTACTTTTAGTTTAAAATATTGCAGAAAAGCACTTCTTAACATGGAAGTGGGTGTTTTTATGAGTTATTGAGAACTATCTCAATAGACTTATGTTTGGGAATTTTTTCTATGAGGGACATACCTGTAAAAATTATTTGACAAATATAATGTGTGCATCTTTTTATATAATATTTAACTACCCAGTAACCTTAAAAATTTAGAAAAATATTCTCCATAATCTAATGTATTATTGAATTTTGGGCTTTAAATTTACTGCTCTTATTTTCTGATAATGTCGGGTATGGACAGCTATATTTACAAATATTGACATGTTTATACATGCACAAAAAAGATTAAAAATTCTTTTTAAAATACCTGGGGGTCACTGAATTGTAATAAGCTTTTCCATTTATGATCAATAAATATATCTTTTATTTAATAAAAATACTACCTAAATGCTACAAATTGATACAGAATTTTTAAATGATTTAAAACTTTATAAATTATTCTAATTAAAATTAAAAAAATGAAAACAATTCTTTTAAAAATTCATTACTCATCGAAAAAAAAAAATCTTAATACAATAGTGTCTGTAGATTATTGATAAAAGAAATTAAAAGTTATTCTAATCAAATAATGTCTTAGTTGCATTTTTTATTTTATGATTCAGAGCAAATTTTTGGTAACTGGTGGTCCTGTTTTACAGAAAAGAAAATTGATCATTTAAATTTCCCAAGTACTATGGCTTATAACTAATAGAAACATTATGCCCTACAAAAATTAATTTCTCAAAATTTCATAAAATTAATTAAGTGGCAGGGGGAGTCACACATCTAAAAAACATATTTTTCCTAAGATTTTCTAAAAAAAAAAGTTTCCTAAAATAATTTCATTAATGTGTGAATAGATCCTGAAAGTTTCATTAAAATATGATAATTATTTTACTTTTGCAAGAATTTCCAAATCAATGTATTTTTCACAATAAAACTTCCTATACTAATTTATGGTCACCCACTGACACAAGAAAAGAAAAATCTTAACCAAAATTTTGACAGTTCTAAGAAGGATTAAAAAATATAATTTAATAACCAAAAAATCCTTTGGTCTTTCCTCTTAATAATAAAGACTTCAATGAAAAAACTTTGTTTTTATTAAGTTTTGGGCATTTTTTCATGTATGTTCATTTTTTAGCAAATCTTTGGTGGTATCTAGATATAAAATATTCCTTTTTTTGTCATATTTAATGACACATGCATAAAAGAAGGCTTGCTGCCCAAATATATGATACATACAGACATATGGATGGATTAATAAGTCTGTTACCTGAAAGCGTTATTGTTTGAATTTTGATATGAAATTATAACTGTATAATATTCAATCTATATGATTGAATTAAGTGCATTAACAAGAAAGGAGATTATGATGAAAAATAAGTATGTATGATGTAAAATAAATGGTATTTTTTTTCATCATAATGTTAGTAAATTATTGATGGGCCAACATTTATTTTGGTAGATACAGAGAGAAGTATAAGTAAACACACATATGTATACACATTCTAAAATTGCCATGAACTTGAACTTTTTTTAAATTAAGGAGGTAAGATGCCCAAAAGCAGATGAAAATATTGTTGAGTATATCACTTGGTCTTAAAACAAATGAAAGAAAAATATGTGTCAATGCAAATAAAAACATGCAAAATTGTTTTCTTTTATGATAAAACTTTCAATGTAATTGGAGACATTGTCAAAGAGGAAAATGTTAGTTTTCAGTAAATAAGCATTTTTTTTTCTTTTATTTCAAACTGCAACAATTGCAAAACTGTTCAGACATGTCTACAGAAAAGTGTACCAGAAATGTACTGTTATTTTGTTAGGATTTTTAGAATATAGGTGAATAAATAACAATTTTATATCCTTCTAAATAGCTGTTGCCAAACACTCTGGTAAATAGTTTGGTTGTTTTTGTTTAACAGCATATCAACCTCTGTAGGTAATTTAATAGCGAAATCTAAATATTTTGCACACAAATTTTATTTAATTTTGTTTTTTGAGATAATAATGGTTTAGTGATACAAGTCTTACTAATTCACCCTTAGCAGGGGGTGGGGAATAGATGGAGCCATACCTTTCCCAAGGGTATTTGTGTGTAAGTGAATATAATGAGCCCAACTGGAATTGGAACTTGTTCTCCAATTAACAATTCCAAGTAATTATCCATTACATCACCCACGCATCCAAGCTTATAGCACTTGGTATTCTCAAGCAATCACCCATCTACGTATTGACCAGGCTCAATGTTGCTTAACTTCGGTGATCATATGGGAACCGGTGTTTCAATGTGATATGGCCATAAGCTCTGGCAAATAGAGAACTAGAAGCAAATAAGATAATTATACGTTTATGTGTAAGTATTTTGAGATGGACACATAAACAGGGATAATTATTGGTGTACAATAAGAAAAGCAGTGGTGTACATAATCTGAAGTATAAAATTGCCATATCACTTTATTTATTAAAATATATTAGAAATAATTTAGTAAAGAAATGCATTGCTTATGATTTATCAAAGAAAACCATTAGACAAAGTTTGCAATAAAAATGCACATATATGTCCATAATTACAATGCACACTTGTATATTTGCATTTGTTGCAGGCAACAGCTGTTTAGAATTATTTGGCAATATGTTAAGACCCCTAACAAACTAATAACTTATCACAATCTTGACTGTTATGCACAAATGTGTGAATGGTTCACATAGAAATGCATGGAAAATTTATGTCAATATATTGTGGCAAGAAACTTCCAATTTTAAAATACTAAAGTTTTTTGCTTTTTTTTAATCATTTCACCCAAAACAATGTGATAATGCCACTAGGATGCTGGGGCTTACAGGGAGTGAGCAAGGATGAGAAAACTATAGTAAGGAGAAGTCAAAAAAGGACAATAAAATAACAGGATTCAGGAAGACAGAAAATGGTGACCGATGCTGCATCTAAATTTTTGAAGACTGTAGGCAACAGGGAAGCAAGAAATCATGTGTTCCACAGGTGAGAAGTGCAAAAAAAAAAAAGAAACTGTTAAAATAGAAGTGGTGGTTGCATCTAATTAGTTCAATAGTAAAATGGCGAGACCTAGTTACCAATTTCATAGCACACTTAAATTCATGTAATCAAGGCACCAAGGAAAAAAGTTTATGACATAAAGCTTATAATATAATTTGTTATTGTCAGTCATGAGGCCAGTAGTGGCTTTTAAAACCAACCAGAAACTTACATACTACAAGTAAGAGGATGTACTGTGGGCACCATTGCAGCTCCATCATATGCCACAATCTTCATGCGAAAATTTGAGGAGATGCATATTTATCCCTTTGTCAGTAACAACTGCATATTCTATGCAAGATATATCAATGATATCTTCTTCATACAAACAGGCAGTAAGGAGAAACTCACTGAATTCCTTATGACTCTAAACATGGTACACAACTCCATTAAGTTCAACTACAAAAAATCAACAAGATAGGTAAAAGTTTTCAACACCTGCATTTACATTGAAAACTACAAACAACAGTACACACTAAAATCACCAACACCCACAACTATCTACACTTTAAATCTTCCCACACTAAACATATCAAGGAGAACCTTCCCTATTCACAAGCACTTAGACTCAGAAGGATATGTTCCAACAATGAAGAACTAAATAAACACACTAAAAATCTTGAGCATCAATTTACAACAGGTGGCTATAAACAACACCTAATCAGGGAACAAATAAATAAAGCAATTTCCACACCTAAAGAAAACACCTTAATGTATAAAATTGCAAATAAATCCAGATGCATCCCTCTAGTAACCACTTTCAGCACCACTCTCCCTCCACTATCTCAGATAATCAAAAGTCACTGTGAAATACTACATCTCAAATCCTACCTAAAAACTTTGGTTGAGAAACCTGGCCTTCTAGCATATTGTAGACCTAAGATCCTTAAGGAAATTATAGGTAGTAAGCAAATTTCAGATGATAAGGTAACCTGTAATAGACCAAAAAGAAAAACAACAGGATTTTCCCAATCATGTAACAACAAAAGGAGTTTATGTTGTAACCACAGTAGACGTACCAATTTGTTCATTAGCTCAATCACTAAATCTACTTTCAAAACCTACCACAACTCTAACTGTAGAAGTTATAACATAATTACTTATTAGAATGCACACTATGCCAGAAACAATATGTGGGAAAATCTGAATGGCCCTTTCACTACAGAATTAATAATTATTGGAATCAGATCAAGTTGGCTCCCCATGAAAGATTATTACCTGTAGAACAACATTTCTGCCTAGAAAAACATGATTTTAAAAGCCATGTAAAATTCACTATAATTGAAAAAATAGAAATAGATAGAAAAGATAACCTTAGAAAAACACTAGAGGAACATAAAGACAAATGGATTTTGCTCCTCAAAACACTGTGTCCAGACAGGTTTAACCACAAATTTAACATATATAGAATTAATACATAACCCCATAAATCAAGCCATACCCACATTTCTCACCCACACATGGCAGACATGCTTGTAGAGATGCTGAGGGCTCACAATTATACACACACTCATCCTAATATATACACATACACACATCATACACACTCCCAAAGAACTAAAAGATAACATACAGTTAACACACATCCCCTTCCAAGCAAGCAATAAAACTGTCAAAATGACCAAGGAGAGAATTCTGAGACTCAGGAATTTCCCAGCTTCTGAAAGAGGCTGTTTAATTAATACAAGGACTAACCAAAATTAACGATAAAAAAAAAACAAATGAAAAATAAAGATAAAGTTAACTTTCTTCAGAGACAGTCATACACTCCTGTAGTTCACTGCAACTAAAAACAGGGATTTTTTCTTCTGATGGTGGCTATGCTGGCCAAAACTTAATTGAAATAATAAAACAAAAGAATATTAATATACAACCCTGGTGTGTCTGAAAATTTTAATTTTTTAATATTTTTTATTGTTCCATTATATATATATATATATATATATATATATATATATATATATATATGGAGGATACATGGATGTGTTTTTGAAGAATATTCAAAAGTAACTTACAAATATTTACTAATCCATCTTGCTTATTAACATACAAATAAAACACTGTGAATATGTTACAAGTATTACTATACTACTTTTCTACATAATCCCTATTGAGCTTGATGTTCTTGTTCCATTAGTACATAAATACCCTCCTTGAAGAATTTGGTGTCAGATGACCAGAGCCAACCATGTAGCTCAAGAAAAACAACCATATCTCTGTGGAAGCACTTCCTGGATAACATCCATATACAAAACATCTTGTGCTTCAAAAAACATAACATTTACCTATCTACTCAAGAATAACTACTATTAAGCTTAATATGCAATTTGTTACAATTACTTGAAAACAATAAAAGATTTAATACAAAACAAAGCAGGAATTTACATTATACATTATAAAAATGTCAAAAAACACATAGATGAAACACCTAAGAATTTAAATAAAAGAATATATGAACACAAAAAACATCTTTTAAAAAACAATACACTAAATGAATTAGTCATTCATTGCAATAAGTCTAACCATAATTTTGATTTTAAGAATGCAATTTTAATTAAGAAAGAAAATAGTTTATTTAGATAAAAATGTATAAGTAATTTTTGAATAATCTACAGTAAATTTACATCCAAGATCATACAACATACCACTTTTCCTAACAAAACTACTACTCATACCAATGTCTGTTGTATTTCATTTCCTTCCCCAATGTATATAAGATTTCATTGCTAAAAACATTTAGTTTGAAGAAATCCTTTTGAAGGATGACATGTATAGCAGGACATTTTTGTAATTTAACTGCTCACTATGTATAGACAGCAAGAATTTATTGAAACAAGATGTATAAAGAAAAACAGACAACTGTTTACGCTTTATCCAATGAAATTTGACTACTGTCCAACAGTCAAATGCCTGATGCCCAATGGTGAAACCACACTTATTTACCATTTCTTTTATAGCAGTATGTATCCTCTACAACAGTCATACAAGCACTTTGCTTGGTTTTTGCAGTCTTCAGGCTACCTGAGTATATTCATTCAGAGGGACTTCATTTATGTATGAATGTGTACGACAGTTCCTAGAAGAGCAAGCTAATGGCCAATGCAAGAGATATAATGGAATAATTTGGAAAACTATTGAACTAGCAGCTTCTGATAAAGAGGTAGCTTTAGAGAATTGGGAACAACTACTCCCAGAGGCCCTGCATACAATTAGAATGTTTCTATGCACCGCCACTAATGCAACACCCCATGAATGATTCCTCCCATTTCCTAGAAAAGTTCAACTAGAGTGTCTACCATCTTGATTCTTGAAACTGGGAGTAATATTACTAAAAAGTCACACATGACTGAATAAGAATGAGCTGCTGGTGGATCAAGTGGAGCTTCTAGACACCGACCCCCAGTATGCACGTGCCCATTACCTTGATGGACGCGAAGGCACAACCTCACTAAAGGACTTGGCTCCAGCAGGGGGTGAACCGGGACCCACAAGCCAAAGTGAGGGCTGTCTTCAGGACACTTCAACTGACTATGAAGAAACAGAAACATGATCTCCTTATGAAGATTATGAGGAACCCTTGAACTCTGGTCCCTCAGATGGTGACGAAAGGGTTCCAAAGAAGAGAGCCCACCCACCTACTGATAATTCAGAAGACACCAAGCCACTCATAGAAGTTTACAAAAACACAGCAAGATTAAATTCAGCTCTAACGAGAAAGAGGAAGTATCTCATCTTGCTTCTGGCAATCTGCCATGGCCTCACAGACAGCAAAGGAAACCTGCTCGATTCAGGGACTTCCTCCCTCTGTAAGAATAAGGCAGAGGAGAATATGGTAAAACCCATCTCCCCCATTAATGGATCTGTCCTGAACACATATATTCAGGAGAACTCTGCTGATATTAAAGCTTACTGATAAGTGATACATATTGTCTAGAACAATTATACTACAGTGAGAATAATAGTTTTTGTGGTCATTCTTGTTGGTAGATTTTCTATAAATTATTAGTTGGAGGCCATCAGGAAGGGTAATGCATTATTAGTTTTGATTTCAAAAGTAAAAGTAAGGTTTTTCAATTCCTTTTCTAATACATATAGTTGTTTCTTCCTAGTATTCAACTTTCTTATATTTTTACAGCTATAATGCATACATTCTGATACACAAACAAGTAAAACCTGAACTATGAATCATGATTTTTTCCAAATATCTTTATATACATTAAAAATACAGGTCTCAATTTAATGTTTTTCTC